TGTCCTGTCTGGACATATATAGTATTGGTAGTGTACTTGAACCCAGGAGCAGACAGACACTAATACCTCCATCTCTGCTAACCCTCATGTTTTGCTCACAGGTTCCCAGTGAGATCCAGGCCTTATTTGAGGATGAAGGCTGCAGGAACCTTAATGCAGAGGTATGTCAAACCTCCAGTTTACTCTTAGTAGGTTTCAGTCAGAATCTTGCTCAAAGTTTACAATAATGTACAAATGTAGTTGGTTGAAGCCATTATTTTCTAACCTGGTCTACATTTATACTCTAGAAAACCATGAATAGTCTTGCTGTCAGATAAAACTTACCTTGCACCCTTATCAACTTCCTTCACAGAGCTCAGACTTTTTTGTGATGACAAAGGCATTGAAGGAGTTTGTAGACAATGAAGGAAAGGGTAAGGACTTTCTTATTGAATCTCCTACAACTCTTAAAAGTGTCTTCTACTGTCTGTTTGTTTGTTTGTTAAAAGACATGTATTCAGCTTCACTGATTTGTGATAAATTTTGTCTGTAACAATATTTTACAAGTTGTCAGTTCTGGTGATCACATCAGGAATCACAAGACTAGTCCAGCATGCAGGTTGACACTCACTGGTACACATTCCTCCCAGGTGCCCTCCCACTTCGAGGGGCCATTCCAGACATGTTTGCAGACTCTGAGCGTTACATCCAACTTCAAAACATGTAAGTAATGTTTAGACTCTTACTTTGTCACACCTACATACCATACATGGAAATTTACAACTTTCCCTGGTCAGGAGCAAAAGCTGTAGTTCTGAGACATGTTGTCAGGGGGCGCTCTTGACAGGTGTCCCAAATCTGGAGGACAAAAATGATTAAAGGTAACAAACAGCCTTCAGTTCTGTGTTTCCTAGTCCTATGAATTAGATCATGATGAATAACAGTTGTCCTTATGAAAAACTTTTCTCCAACTCAAAATTTGACTCACCAGAAATTTTCGACTGAATCACTCAGTCTTCCTCAGCTATCTGACCCAAATGCTGTGGACACGTGATTTTTCCCACGTGTGACGTCAGCAAAGGGTCAAAGGTTGTCTGAAGTCGATATCGCCCCCCGTCCCGGTTGAGCGATGGTTGAAGTGCCCTGATGTATATGGCCTCTTTTATGCCTGTTATATCGACTTCAGACAACCTTTGACCCTTTGCTGACGTCACACGTGGGAAAAATCACGTGTCCACAGCATTTGGGTCAGATAGCTGAGGAAGACTGAGTGATTCGGTCGAAAATTTCTGGTGAGTCAAATTTTGAGTTGGAGAAAAGTTTAAGTTTTTCATAATGTAATTTACCAACTCAGATGAACTTTCATGCTGAACAGTTGTCCTTGTTGCATGTCTTTCAGCTACAAGGACCAGGCTAAACAGGATGCCTCAGCAGTGGCCTCCAGAGTCTCACAGATCTTGTCCTCCATAGGAAGGGTAAGTGTTCATACTCAATACAAATACATAGTAGGAGAA